CAAGCAAATTTTTTGCAAGTCTGGTGGTAAATAAAAGAATTACTGAAGGTAAAGACGTAAATGTCTACAAAACAGCGGATCACAATCGTTACCAATCGTTTTTATATAACTACCTACCACACTATAAAACATTCATGTTCATTTTTTTTCTCTCTTTTTTAATGTTTTGTAATTTATAACAATACGATCATATAATTGTAATTTGTTTTTTTTTCATTCATTACTTGTACACATTTATATGCCAATGTGAAAATTTTACGCAATTAAGAATCTAAACTATACAATAATAAGTTAACAAACATTAAGTAAATAAAATTGTGTTACTGAAACAGATCTATGGTTGGTCGAGCACAGAGGCGTAGCGACCCTTCCCGGCGCCCGGGGACAAACTTTTCGATTTGCACCCCCTCAACCTTTCAATTTATTTTTCCAACCCATTTTGGCGCCCCCTTAGCTCGGCGCCAAGGGACATATGTCCCCCCCCCCCCGCCCCCCACCCCTCGCTACGCTACTGGTCGAGCATAATAATTTGTTAATTATATGGTCATTTCGCAATTGACAAATAGATGTTGGAGTATTGCAGATGTTTATTTCTTTGTAGTGCAACACTATAAGTTAGTATTAAATACCATTTAGAAGGAATTATTATTTTTATTCTTAAATGCAGATGATGAGGTTTGAAAGTGGTTGTGTAGGATGATTGTAAATTTAGTCAAATGTGATTTAGCCATGTGTACCACACAACTTGAAGATTACTGCTTAAAAAAACAAACACTAGTTCTAGATATGTTCTGTAATCAGTGTTTCTTCCAGAGTTTTTTCTCCGGGGGGGGGGGGGCACTTGAAAGTTTCCGGGTGGGGGGGGGGGGGGGGGGAACACTGTTAAAAGTATATATTTTCTATATAAATTATACAAATTTCATTTCGTTCGGGGGTAGGGGGGGTGGGGGGGGGGAATTTTTTCAGGGGGGGGGGGCTGGAAGAAACTCTGTCTGTAATGATTACTGAGTTAAGATAAAATATTTAAGTTAAAACACATTTTAGACAGATAATTGTTTGGTGGAAACTATAAAAGGATTACACCGCTTTCTTTAACACTATTTGGATGGGGTATTGTATTAATTACACAACGAAAAAATAATCATTTTCACGGTAATAGCGAAAGAGGATCATACAATAATTTTTCCAATCTAAAAGTGAATTTGTGTTTATTTTAAAAATAAGCATAATCTACAACAATAATAAACAATAATGTCTTTTAAACTTTTCAAATTTATTTGCCTTGTAACTATAAGATACATTATAAAATTCTTAAACAACAAGAATATTATTAATATCAACCCGTTAAATGGATTTTGAATATACTTAGTACGTTTCCTTAAGATAAAGGTGCTTAAAATCCCAACATAATGATAAATATTGGCAGAGGAATACATCCTTAATCGTTCTTTACGTCTTGGAGACAGTTCATCATAGATTTGCCAGGTATTATCTAAACATTTCTTAGTACATAAATTGGTTCTTCCCTTTTTAAATCACATCAAGTGTTTATAAATGTTTTTGTAACATGTGTTTGTAACATGTGTTTGTAACATATCATGATACATTGATATCTCCCCTCCCTTACACATGATTTTCACGTGGTTTTCCGAACCCTGCTCCAGCTCACACAACACACCAACCTGAGCAGGTAAATATCTGAGATGAGCACACACATCAGCATGCAATGCACGTGCATCAAATCGCAGCAGCAGCAGACCCTGTAGAAAACGCACACGGCAAAAACACCCCAATCAATACCCATGTACCAAATGAAACAGTTCATCGCCGCCATTATTTTTGTCTTACACATCCATAAGATCTATACTACATATAAGAAACTGTTTCAAAGACAAGGTCGAATGGGAAATGAGTTATCTTAACACTACCACAGTAAAATAAATAAATAATTTATCTTTAATAAAAATGAGTCATCTCTTTAAACAACAAAACGGATGTGATCTTGATCATGACATGCGTACTCAACTTGCAGAAGCATCAGTAAAAACAATGGCACGTTTAGGCGGCGAGAGAGTTAAAGTTTAGACACGGGAGTCGAGGGTTAATCTTTGTCACACAGTCGCTGACTCATCCAAACAAATCTCTGACAGAAGAAAGGATTCATAACGATGATAAATATATTCAATTACTCCGTCTAGGAATTTGATCTTTATTGGGATAAAAGATACATAAGACTTAGACAAGTATGATTCATATTTCCTTTAACATAAAGCTTGATCTTTATGTTTAAATCTAGTACTTTCTATTTGAAAATGTAAAGTGCTGAATTCATTGTTAATAAAATTGAGAGTTGATAATAATGAAACTATAATGATCAGTAGTTGAGTATGGCAGTATCTATTGCATAAATGTGTTTTGTAAACCAATACAGTGCTAGTGAAAGTCTAAAAAGATGATGATCTTTAATGTGTTAGCTATCACGGGTTAGGCTAGTAGTTTCATGTTTGATCTTTGAATGCTACTGACGTGTAACTATGACGCACACGTCGCGTCAGCGAGTCGACTCAACTTACGTATTTACACGTACGACAAAATGGGGCTTAAATTTGCTGGTAGTTTCTTGGTAAAAGGTTATAAAAACAGCACCGCTAGGGTTAAAATTGGGATTATTTTCTAATCCTCACGACGGATGAGTGGGGTTAATGTTAGGGTTAATGTTACCAAACCGGTACGGTGTTATTATGATTGTAGTTTTAGAAAACAACAATCTTATAATGATTGTGTTGGTTTTCACTCGGGGAGCCCAAGTTTTTGCAAGATTGGGGGCATTAAAAAATTATTAGATGACAAACTGAGCGACGTCTGCCTGTATGTCGCGGTATTGATGTATCGATTACGTTTAAAAGTCTGTCTTAGAGTGTGGGTCGTTATCTGATAAAGAGTTTAAACTTTGTTGAACGGGATTCTAAAGAAGAAATAATACAGGTTCTTTGAAGATATACGAAGGCAAGACATAATGACCGCGATATGATTACATGGTTTATGAAAGGAGATGGTTAGTTGTAGATATAAACAGTAAGGCCAACCTTACCGGTTTCTTTCATTCTGAGTCACTGTTGCCAATTTTCACCTACAAATCTAATTAACTATTTTTTTCTTGTGCGACTGGCTGATGATGGTACACGGTTGGTAGACAAGCCTTGCTAGGTACCTTCATACACAACTGATGTTGGACTAGCCTTCTCAGGTAAACCAAACAAGTTAGACTAGACTTACAAGGTGACCCCACACACAATTGCTGGTGGACTAGACTTCACATGTAACACGCAACTGTTGTTAGACTAGACTTGCCAGGTAACCTCACACACAACTGTTGTTAGACTAGACTTGCCAGGTAACCTCACACACAACTGTTGTTAGACTAGACTTGCCAGGTAACCTCACACACAACTGTTGTTAGACTAGACTTGCCAGGTAACCTCACACACAACTGTTGTTTAGACTTGCCAGGTAACACACAACTGTTGTTAGATTAGACTTGCCAGGTAACCTCACACACAACTGTTGTTTAGACTTGCCAGGTAACCTCACACACAACTGTTGTTAGACTAGACTTGCCAGGTAACCTCACACACAACTGTTGTTAGACTAGACTTGCCAGGTAACCTCACACACAACTGTTGTTAGACTAGACTTGCCAGGTAACCTCACACACAACTGTTGTTTAGACTTGCCAGGTAACACACAACTGTTGTTAGACTAGACTTGCCAGGTAACCTCACACACAACTGTTGTTTAGACTTGCCAGGTAACCTCACACACAACTGTTGTTCGACTAGACTTGCAAGGTAACCTCACACACAACTGCTGTTTAGACTTGCCAGGTAACCTCACACACAACTGTTGTTAGACTAGACTTGCCAGGTAACCTCACACACAACTGCTGTTTAGACTTGCCAGGTAACCTCACACACAACTGCTGTTTAGACTTGCCAAGTAACCTCTCACATAATTGCTGTTAGACTAGACTTAACAGTAACCTAACACACAACATGGGGACTTTAAAATACATTTTAGCCTTGACTTGATATCAAGCTTTATTTTGAAATGTTAAAATATTAAGCACACACCTGAGAGTTCGTCGAGTAAGTCGCTAATGATGCAAAAAAAAAAAAAACAAAAAAAAAAAAACAATAATAAACAAACATACCTCTCGGTTCATGGAGCTGATTTTTTAATTTTGCTAATTGATACCTTAAAGAAATAAAATGAAATAGGCCTATATACTAAATTATACATTTAATTTGATATTTAATATTATTTATTAACATTGAGTATATTATTTCAAAAGACGTACTACAGTAACTATTGTAAAAAAAGGCATCCAATCTAGTAGTATGAAGAATAATAAGAGACTATCATAGTCATAGTTAAAGAAAAAATATGGCTGAGATATAGATATAGTAGTGAATCGACATTAACTAATGTATAAACATACATTATATAACAAGTTACTATTTAACTAAGGTAGACTACTTATCTTAACTTAGTGTTAAAACATAATATCAGAGATAATTAGCTTCATTAACCATAGCTAATGACATAATCTATGATTTATTTATCAATAACTTTAAGTTAAGCAAGTTGGGTTGAGGGACATGTCTCCTTAATCTTGTTTTTATCTAACTTAATGTAACTAAATATTTATCGATGAGCGAACTATTCAAAGCGCTGTACGTCTACGGAGGTGAAGGATTAAGTAATGAAAACAAAACAGTGGTTTAAGATTACGTAGATTTTATACATTATCTGAGGTCCACTTTTTAAAATATTTGAACGTTTTTACGTTATTGGCTGAGTAATTATTCTAGATCTAAAAATATGAAATTAAAATAATCTAATACAAATTTTAAAATAATCGTTTAATTTATATTTTGCAGATCAGTGTAATTTCTGAGTGACGTTAAATTGTATCTGGCCCTGTATGATTGTATAGTGGGAGTCAGCAATGAGAGATGGAGTCACACAATATCACGAGTCAGACGAACGAAGAGTCAGAGCCCGTGTGGATCAGTGATGACGCCAGGAAGGTTGTGCAGACGGTTTTTTTCGTGGCCATCAACGGCGCCACGGGATTTCTGGGATCTGTGGCCAACGTCATCAATATCGTGGTCTTCGTCAAACAGGTGAGCCTGGGGGGGGGGGGGGGGGGGGAAGAGAGGGGTGGGGTGGGGGATGGGGAGTATTTTAAGTAGCAGCCTTGCAATGGGGTGATGGAAGTGTCTGTCAACTGATAAGTGTAATGTGGATAGGTCTCCGTCAATAGGTTAGTATGTGGGGGAGGATGGGGGGGGGGGGGGCGTAGGGGAAGTTTTGAGAAGTTGGTAAGTGAGGGGATTTTTGGAACTCCCCAGGGTTTTGAGATATTGTGGTTTGTGGACAGGGGGTCCGTGACACTGTCTGTGGTTTTTTAACATGGTTCAGTGACACTGTCTGTGATTTGTTTACTGGGGTTTAGTGACACTGGTTTTTAAAACAAGTGTCAGTGATACTACTTTGCTAACAGGGGTTCAGTGACATTGTCTGTGGTTTGTTGATAAGGGTTCGGTGACATTGTTTTTTTAACAGGGTTCACTAGTTTGTTGACAGGGTTTCAGTGACACTGGAGTTTGTTTACTGGGGTTCAGTGACACTGGTTTTAACAGGGTTCAGTGACACTGTCATTTGTTGACAAGGTTTTTTTGACAATGTCTGTGGTTTGTTTTCTGGGGTTCAGTGACACTGTGGTTTTCTTGACAGGGTTTTAGTGACACTGTCAACATCAGTCTACTGGGTCTGGCCGTCTCCGACCTTGGCAGTCTGGTGACCTTGGTCTGGGAGAGCATCACCTTGAACCCTTTCTTCCTGAATGCCGACGTCCCGTTTCGACAGAACGACATCAGGTATCTCACAGCAGGTGGGTCTTGTTTGCTTACCTGTAGAGTGGTACAGGTGAGGGGGGATGGTGGGGGGGGTTATTGAGTTATAAGGAACGTTTGATCTTTTTAATGCAGGAGAAAGTAATTCTTATGTTAATCGTCTTTATCTGCCCCCAGCCTTCACACTAACACATTCTTTATCAGCGCCCGGCCGTTCCACTAAAAGTAGCTACACCCACTTACATTATCTGTATCTGTCACCAACATTTCCATTAACATTATCTGTATCTGCCCCCACAGTCATACTAACATCTGTATATGCCCCCAGCCATCCCACTAACCTTATCTGTATCTGCCCCCAACCATCCCACTACCTTATCTGTATCTGCCCCCAGCCATCCCACTAACCTTATCTGTATCTGCCCCCAGCTATCCCACTAATATCTGTATCTGCCCTAGCCATCCCGCTAATATCTGTATCTGCCCCCAACCGTCCCGCTAATATCTGTATCTGCCCCCAACCGTCCCACTAAATTTATCTGTATTTGCCCCCAGCCATCCCACTATCATTATCTGTATCTGCCCCAGCCATCCCACTAACATTATCTGTATCTGCCCCTAATATCTGTATCTGCCCCCAGCCATCCCACACTCCATCTTCGTGCGTATCGCCTGGTGTATCACAGCCTTCTTGACCTTGGAGCGCTGCCTCTGCATCGCCATGCCTCTCAAGGTCAAACAGATCATCACAGCCAAGAGGACCCTCCTCATCAACCTCACCATCTTCACCCTCATCTTCCTCGGCATGTGCCCCATCTTCGTCTGCCGGTGGATCGGTCCGGAATTCGCGCCGGAAAGAAACAAGACGATTTTCGTGACTTTGTTCTCGTGCGATAAAGTCACGGTCGAAAACATCGCTTTCACGTTCAACGTCGTGGCGCAGTTCAGCTCCTTCATCATCGACCTTCTGTGCACGGTGATTATAATCCACACCCTCCAGGTGAAGTCTAAGTGGCGAAACGAAACCACCAGCACGTCGAAAACAGGGTTAGCAACACGGGATAAGAAAGTGATTAAAATGATCGCGTTGATCTCGACGATTTTTATCGTCTGCTCCATGCCCAGCTGTGTGAACTACGTGGTGGTAGTCAACAGGCTGGAGTACAACGACGCCAGTGTGTACAGGAATGTGTACACGGTGTCCTGGGCGGTTATTGTGGCCCTCGAGGCTATAAATAGCTCGGTGAATATTTTTGTGTACTACAACATGAGCGGGAAGTACAAGGCGGCGTTTGACGATATATTTTGTAGGTGGTTAAGGGGAGAGAAGCAAGGAGAAAAGACAAAGGAAACAGGCGGTAAGGGGAAGTAATAGAAATAAATATGTACATGACACTGAAGTAAAAAATAATAAACGATTGAGCTAATCAATATATAAAATTATCTAAATCGTTTTCAAATAAATGTGTAAAAATTAATTTTTTTTTAAACCTGCTTTATAAACCATATCAATTCTTCCAACTATAAATTCTAGTTGTACTTGTGTGGTATAAAACACTTATGTCTCGTATTTTTTTATTTTTTATTTGTACCGACTTCAGTGGTTGACCGTCGCTCTCCTGCACACTCCAGTGAGCAAGTTGTCTTAACATTTTTCATATTTTGAATCATTTGCCGGCGCTCAAACGGAACACTCGGAAGCAAATGATTGACAGACTAGACGAAACAGTTTACCGTTAATTGTAGCTAAATTTAAATGGTACTAAACTAGATAAAAGCTGTTTACAGCGGCATTGACTATTCTAATTAACTGTATTACTTACAGATCACTCACGTAAAAACAAAACCCAACTAGCATCAGATTTAATATGAAATCCAGCCAGCATCCATCAATATTGGACCAAAACGTTCTTTCTCAATTTATTAGATCTCCATATGCTAGTGGTTCTTACCTTTTGTAGGTACTGAACCCCAACAGTTTCAAATTCTTATTCATCGAACCCTTCTTAATAGTTCTATCGTCCGCACTGACAAAATCCTGATCGTGAATCATATGAGTCGGGTGTGTATCTTGACCTCCGCCGAATTCACGAAACTGCCTCACCGAAACCAGATTAAGAACCACAACTCTATGCTGATATTGTGTCAGTTTATATAGTGTTTATTAACACCAGCAACCAGAGTTTCTTCCAGGCATCTAATTGGGGGGAGGGGGGCGGGGGCGGAAAGAATGAAAGAAAGAAGAAAGTCTAACCCCTGTTATGACCGCTCTCCGACAGCCGCGGAGGGAGCGGACACCCCAGGTTCGTTTAGTATTGTACCGATAGAAGTCACTCTAATGGAATCCCAACAACTTGCCGTGAGCTCGTTAATGCTGTCTAGGGGTAAAACACGACAAATCGAAGAGACTCAACACGACTTAAACTATCAATACCTTTTTAATAAATGTACAAGATTATGACACTAGGTAAGTTCAAAATGTACAGACTCTAAGAGTACAATAAATAAACTCAAAAACTCCAACTTACAGTTTGAGAAAATCACAATATATCACAGCTGTGGCTTAGTATATTATACACCAATACAGATCAATACTTCACACAACTGAATGGCATCATAATTACCACCAAAAAACCAAGAAGAGACGTATTGCCTCTACAACAATAGAAATCCAAATAAAGGACCAAACTATCACCGAAGTAATCAAAAAGGTGCAATAATACACCAGAACAAAATAGTTGAAATACTACAACTTGCCACACAATACCTTATACAAAGGTAATAAACATGTCACAAAATTACAATACTGAAAAGGTGGCGTACATAACCACCGGCACAACTCTCCTGGTCCAAAGGTCAATCTGGCTGCCTTTAGACATGAAAAAACCCAAGATTAAATAAAACTCAGATTAAGGGGAAATAACTCAAAAGTCTTACGACTATTGGTTGAGGATCTGTCAAGGATCCTCACGGTCGCAAGACCATTGGTTGAGGTTCTGCCAGGGATTAAAAATACAATCACCTGATGTGACAGAGTTCAGTTGACCGATTCGTACCAGTGAACTGACAATTCTCCCAAGGTCAAATACATAACTTAGGAGATTAAATATACATAAAGCAAAAAGACCTAAGTAGGTCACACCCCTCCCCCCCCCCCTCGGAACGAAATGGAATTTGTATAGAAAATCTATACTTTTAACAGTGTCCGCCCCCGGAAATTTTAGTCCGCCCCCTCCCCACCCCCCGAAAATTTCAAGTGCCCCCCCCCCAGTGTTTTTTCCAGACTTTTTTCTCCGGGGGGGCACTTGAAATTTTCGGGGTGGGGGGGGGGGGCGGTAGACTTTCTTCGGGGAGGGGGGGTGCGGACACTGTTAAGAGTATATATAATCTATATAAATTATATACATTTCATTTCGTTCGGGGGCTTAACTCTGCCCCCCCCCTCCCACAGAGAAAGAAGTCTGGAAAAAACACGGTCAGCAACACAGAATGTCGTTTGTGAGACGTTATATTCCCCGCTCATGTAAATAATAAGTGAAAAAAAAGTAAGTAAAGTTCCATCTATAAGCAGATGAATTAGGGTTAATATGCTTCTTGACCTCGGCATATAGAAGGATGGCATAATTAACACTCCGCCTTAAATTTTGGAAACGACATGAAAAAACGGTCACTATGAATGGATACATTAAGTAATAGCAAGCGCTAATGTTCAAAGCGAGGAATATTTATCTTCTTCATTCTTAATTTTAATATATTAGAAGTTATTTCTTCCAACACAATTGGGCAATAAGTGTCAACATATTAAGCACCATATAGGCCGTTGACTCCAATTCCAGCCTGCTTTTTAGCTATAATTTCTTCTATAGCCTTCGCCCAACAAGAAGCAAGTCAGCAGTTGTTTGTTTTTGGAGTTATCTCTCATAGATGGCTGTCGACAGCTACCGAGCCTTATCTTCCAGGGGTTCGAACTTGGGTCTTTATAAGCTTTATGAGCTAGGGAAGTATCTGATTGACTGGTTATTAAACATTTTTATTTTTGTTTTCACTTAGGGGTCATCCATAAATGACGTCACGCTTTTTTGACGATTTTTACCTTCCCCCTCCCCTCCGTCACACATCGTCACAAAAAGCCAGACCCCACCTCCCTAAAATGACGTCGCTCCTCAGTCTACAACCCCCCCCCCCCTCAAAATTGCAGTTGAATTTTTCTCAAAACATCGATATTTTTCCAAAATCGTCTGAACTCTCTCAAGATATAGTATTTTAATCAATTCCTATTACAATTTATTAAAACAGTTTTCTAAAACGCGAAACATTGCTTTTTTCTATAATGCAAAAGTGTGACGTCCCACCATCAGACCCCCCTCCCCCTCATCACACACCGTCACAAAATTACGGATCCCCCTCCCCCCTACAAGTGTGACGTCATTTATGGACGACCCCTTATTTAAAATTTATCAGAATAAAGAAAGGTCGACAAAGTAAACGATGACACATTGATAACGCATGATAACAATTTTTTTTAATCTGATGGTTACCAGTATCTATAACATGTCACTAACAGGTGAATGACAAATTACTGACGATGTCAATGACCACTGACTGACAATGTCGTTGACGGTCACTAAGAGTAACCATGACAACCACAAGTTCTATGCAGGCCACTGGATCTGCCTCTCTAGAGGCTTAGGTCCACATGTAATCGTGAAGTTCTCTTTCCCTGCCATCATGTAAGGCAGAAGGCTGTGGATAAAACAACAATAAACACTCACTGCAGCAAATGTTCAGATGTCTAAGTCTTTACACCAGAGGCGTAACGATGGGGGGGGGGGGGGCGGGGCGGGGTACATATATCCCCGGGAAGCCGACCCTAGGGGGCACCAAAACGGGTTGGAAAAAATTAAAAAGCTCATTTTATCTGCAGTTTTGCATTATAAATATAAAAAAAAATATATATGAGGGGGGGGGGGGGGGGAGTTGAAAATTTGTCCCCGGGCGCCGGGAAAGGTCGCTACGCCTCTGCTTTACAGCCCTGTGTATGTTATGTACATGTGTAAGTTGAAACAAAGTTCTGATCGTCAACTCAGCAACATCAGTCTACCCAATGAGTTACGATGGTTGTTGAGTAATGGTATTATATCTTACTCCATGTGCATATATATCTACTCGTCTCAGAGTCATTTAAGTGTGCTAATACTCTATCATATAAAGAGGCAAAATATATTTTAAGATACCTTAACCTATCTGAACCTTACTTTATCTACTCAATAGGCCACTCTCTTATGTAATTTAGATCTTGAGAACATAAGTTGTTAATGTAGCTAATGATAAAATATTAAAGAAATTAATATCGTTTTTCTATTTTATGTTTTACATTCATAGGCTTAGAGCTAGATTTATCGATTTTTTATTCTAGTTTAAACTGAAATTATAAAAACCAATACTTACTATCTGGCAACACATCGGTCTTTATACATGTAAAATACTGTCAAATTATTTGAGCATACGACCGAGGTGGTTAAGGTAAGGAAAGAAGCCCGATACAAGTTCTCTACTTACGGCACGTCCAGTTTGTTCAGCTCGTATGGGACGGGGTTCGGACCCTCTTTGGACCCCTGGTATGTGATGACGTAACGTGAGTAGTGGCAGGTGGTCACGCCGATGATCTTTGGGTTGTTCTAGTTAGTGGATATTACATTGCACACAAAGATGGTAGAGAATATAGATGATCTTTGGGTTGTTATAATTAGTGGACATATGGCATACAAAAATGGTACGGAATATAGATGATCTTTGGACACATACATAGCATACAAAAATCATAGAGAATATAGATAATCTTTGGGTTGTTCTACTTAGGGGATACATACATTGCATACAAAGATGGTAGAGAATATAGATGATCTTTGGGTTGTTCTGGTTAGGGGATACATACATTGCATACACAGAAAATAGAGAATATAGATGATCTTTGGACACATACATAGCATACAAAGATGGTACAGAATATAGTGTCAAAATAATGTCTTTTGTAATGGGCCTTAGCCTTGGTCATCGTAGGCTAGTAACTAATTGACGCAAGAATGACACAATAATAAACCTTTTATAACGGTAACAACCGCAGGTAATGATGGTATTATTTCGCATTGGTCGTTATTAAAAAAACATAACATTTTGATAAAATAGCAACAGAAGGTACCGACATTTTTATCACAGGCTGTTATATTAGTCTTGCATTTAGAATAATCGTTGCGCTAGAAATCGTTTGACTTTCTACTAAAATAGTAAATTATCGTCGTATAGGTGTAATAAATAAATAAATAACAAATGAAGCATATTAATTTTAATTAAACGTTTTGTTGTTGTTAAAAATAGCTTGATCTTCGGTAAAATGTATGCCTGATTTAATGGAAAGACACTTTAGAATATCTGAATCGATCGTTTTTGAAAAAAAATATATTTAGGTGTAGATGCAAGAAGAAAAAAAATAACGTTTTCCATCGCTACTGATGTAGATGTGAGAAGAATAAAAAAAGTTAACGGTATCTATAACGTATCTACCAGAGGTAAGGTGTTACCATATCGTGTCCCATGGAACAATCTGGAAAGATCCCAACGAAGACATTCTCGTAGGGCTCGTCATAGTGACCAGAGCAGCTGTGGTTGGATGTGATGTCGTCCACTGTCAGGTTGTACAGGACTTCAGTGTCTAGGGTTCCGTTTCTGTAAGAGTAGAGAGTATAGTGGTATAGGGATCAACTGTACAGCTACTAGTGGTGTTTTGTTGTATGTGTAGTCAAGTAGGTCTTCCATTGGCGTCCTTATGGTTCAAAGTACATTTGTATAAGACATGTAGTAAACGGCTAAGTGGGCACTGGGCAGCTAGTACACTTCTAAGTGGGCAGATGATACATATCAAAGGTTGCATGCAGTACCCGTATATGTCTTTGGGTGATATAGGGCTAGAATTTCTTGTGTACATGCCTAGGGTGTCCAATAGTACGGGTCTATGGGGTACATTGTACTAAAATACCTATAACAATGTCCATGAAGCGTAAAAGTCTCGGGATACGTATTACAGATCTAGGCTCTTGTGCTAAGATCTTCGGGGCGTAGCTACTGCTCCAAAATGACACAAGGTACTGACTATTTGGATCCGTAGGAAAGGTGTGACGAAGCACTTTCTACGTAACCAGGAGATCAGGTAGAAAAGAGGTCTAGTGGCTCATATAACCTGTTTTAGAACAGACCTTTGTAGCCTGGGGTTCACTGTGATGTTGTGGGGCGTCACTCGAATGTTGGCGTCCTTGTCTTCATACACCGTCACCAGCTGGCGACGTTTGAGTACGTTGTCGACGAACTCTTCGGCGTAGAAGGTAGGAACCTGTAGAGATAATGCAGAGATGGGATTTGAGAAATCTTTATACTTTCGATATGGTAAATGTGTAGAGAGTACAGCACTTAGGATATTTTTTCCCATTAGGCTTAGTCACATGAAGCAGTTAATAATATTCAAGTGTGACTCTGTTGATACTTGAACTTCAATAAACAAAAGCCGACAACATCTCGGGACGTAGTGAGAAGAAATCCCTTAACAATTAACACTTTACACACGGATTGTTTAAACAATACCATAAGGACCTGTGACTTATAACTGTAAAACACAAGGTATTTTGTTTTTTTTCATACACATGTCTTAAGCCATAGAGGTAAATCTCAGCTGCACTCAGGGTTTCTTTCGGGCATTGTTCTCTGAGGAGGGGTACATAAACTTCTTGGGGCCAGACGCTAGCTGGAGAACATATGTTCTATATATCATTTTTATTTTCAAATTCGTTCGGTTGGGGATTGGGGGGGGGGGTTGGTTTGCTTTGGGGGAGGGGGCGGTACTCCCATTTCTGAAAAAAAAATATATGAAAAAAACTCTGCCTGTACTAAAGCTATAACAGATACTAGAAGGGTTTCTTCCAGGCATCTTTACGGGTGGGGGGGGGGGGGGGGTTATTCCCCCCAAAAGGAAGTCTACCGCCCCCCCCCCCCACAACAAAATGGAATTTATATAGACAATATATACTTTTAACACGTTCCGTCCCCCCTCCCCGGATATTTTAGTCCACCCCCACCCCGAAAATTTGAAGTGCCCCCCCCCCACTCCGGAGAAAAAAATTCTAAAAGAAACACTAAACACTAGGGTGAGGTAACTGACCTGTCCTAGGGCCGGTACAAACACGGGGATGAGGTAACTCTCAACCAAGGCGTGTGGGTGCGCCACATTCCTCCCCCTGTTAACTGACCTGTCCTAGGGCTGGTACATACACGGGGATGAGGTAACTCTCAACCAAGGCGTGTGGGTGCGCCACATTTCTCCCCCTGTTAACTGACCTGTCCTAGGGCTGGTACATACACGGGGATGAGGTAACTCTCAACCAAGGCGTGTGGGTGCGCCACATTTCTCCCCCTGTTAACTGACCTGTCCTAGGGCTGGTACATACACGGGGATGAGGTAACTCTCAACCAAGGCGTGTGGGTGCGCCACATTTCTCCCCCTGTTAACTGACCTGTCCTAGGGCTGGTACATACACGGGGATGAGGTAACTCTCAACCAAGGCGTGTGGGTGCGCCACATTCCTCCTCTTGTTCTCCTCCACCTGCTTGACCCCCGACACGAAGCCACTGAGTAGGTGCAGGATCCTCAACAGCCTGTCTGACGGCACTCTCACAGTAGCCTCTGGTGTGGCTGTGTGGAGGAAAAATAACTTTTCAGAACGGATATACTAGGTAAAGTAGAGTTGATCTCTTTTTTTTAACTCGGGTTTATCAAAGTGTGTGGGCATCACCATAGTGAGTCAGTAATTGAAGTTCCCTTTTCGGACCAAATGATCTATATTGCAGATGATGTAGAAGTAGAATGTTTATTGAACGCAGTTGATGAAGGGATGGGTTGTTAAACACCAAGCCTGTCGGCCTTTACTTACCCTAAAGTGCGTCAGAGCGGGGTGGCCTTCCTGAAGTCTCTAGTCAGGACCGAGATCCAAACTACATAATTTCTGGTAAGAAGTCGAGCACTCTACCACGCGACCACGCCATCTCTGTACTTTCCACAAAATCAGTCAGATACTTACCAAAAGCTGATAAACTCAAGAACGTCTATTACACTATATAACCGAAGAATCGAACTTGAGACAATTCGGTTAACAATACATACACTACTATACGACCACGGCAGACTCTGACATGAGAATTGCTTACACGAATGTGTGTGCATTAAATTACAGACACAACCAACTTCACATTTCATTAAGTTTAACTTTTACTATACAAGTGATATACTTAACAGTAGGATATCAAATTCCATCCATTTACCCAAAATTTGTCGGGAATGCAAAATGGCTAGTTGCACTACCTTACTTTATATTTATCTAACAAAAAAATCATCATATTTTCCCTTTCGGGTCCAAGACACACGGGTACAGATGAAGTAGAGTTCACCTGTTTCAGTGACTTCGGCACTTTCACGACACAATTCCATTTCCATTAGGATTACATTAATACTATTACATTAAGATTAAATAATACGTTTACATTATTATCACAGCACCATGTGTAAATTAAGATCACACTACTCCATTAAGAGTTGGAAGAGAAAACCACATTCAGTTTAAAATTATATTTCTCAATTTAATTTAAAATTATATTTTTCAGTTTTATTTAAGAAGATATTTTCCAATTTAATTTAAAAAGATAAATTTTCAAATTTAATTTAAAATGGGTTTTATGATAGGATTGAAATATTTTAAATACATGTTATGTTCATTTAAACAATTTGTATGCATTTAAACATGAATTTTAATTAAATTGTGTAAACGTGTTTTGTACATATATTTTAATGTTGATGTACACACAGCCGGTGGAGCCGGTTTAAATAAACACCCGATACATATAGGGGGGCGTTATTTAACCAAATTAGAAACACAAACAAAATGAATTAAAAAGCAGATATAAAGGCACTGACCTGACGGTTGGGGGTCAGGTTGACCTACAACCAGGAACGCTACAAGAGCTAATCCAAGCAGCAACAGACTCAATGACGTCATGTTTATGTTAACCCCACATGTGAATCAACTTCGCGCCTCATAGAAAAAGTTTGTTTTGCACAAGGGTGCTAATCGATTTAAAACTTTATTATTGATCACTGTGGTAATTATCTTTGCTTTTCTTAATGACTTTGTTAATTAACACAAGAAAATTAATTGTTTACCATTATCTTATTTTTTTTTTTAATTCTGGAAATGTTTAATTTCATGTATAGAGTTCATTATGTGTTGTTCGTTAATATTGTTTGATGGATTAAATATTGTAAGCTGTATTGTTTAAGTAAAATTGTGTTATTTCAAGCTGTTAAGAAAAAATACAAATCGATTTGCTTTCGTTTACAGTAATTATTTTAAATCAGGTCATCGACCAGTTAACTGGAGATTAACAGTTAACTGTTTGTACAGTTTAGTTTACAGCTAACGATGTTTTTTTTTTTTTGTTTAAAAAAATAGGTAAGTGTCGTTAAGATCCGTTGACAAAGGGTTGCGGTGGGAGGAAAGATCCCCTAATCCCCTCACACAACTGACTACAGGCAGTAGTTAGCTAGATAAAACTATTAATACGTTGTTACACACAACTGTTCTCTGACACACATACACACAAACACACACAAATACACACACAGATACACACACACACACGAACACACACACAAACATGCAGACGAAACAAACACACACATATACACAACACACGCACATACATATCACAACTGTCAGTACGTCGGTAGGTACAAGTGTCCTCTGAATCACATCACGACACATCAATACAACCATTGTCTTATAAAACACTCATCACAGCTGTTAGTAGATTGGTGAGTACAACAGCACTCTCATGAACATTTCACCACTAACAGCACGTGCTGTGAGTTTAAAAAGAAGACCATTGTTTACTTTTATTATATACTTATATTATATATTTATATTATGTTTGTTTTTAAGAAGTGGACTTCCATTAAACGTGAACATAGAACATTGACACCATTATTGTTTCAGAAAACACAGTAAATGATTATCCATTATTTGATGCTAGAACTATCGAGACATAGTTATCATTATGTTCAGTGTTTCTTCCAGACTTTTTCCTTCGGGGGGGGGGGGGCGGACACTGTTATAAAAGTATATATTTTCTATATAAATTATATAAATTTCATTTCGTCCGGGAAGGGGGGGGGGGGATAGAATTTTTTTCTGATTATGTTGCAGCACAGACTCGAACAATTTTGTCGGGAGATTGAACGGGGAGCTTAATGTGTAATTTGATTAAGATATTTATAGGCAATTAGATGTTAATGGTTAATACATTGAAACATTAAAAAAAGTAATCAAGAGTGTATCATATGTGGTGTAGTGGTATTGGCTAGTGCTAAGTGGCATGACGACAACTCCAATTTTCAAAGGATGTGAAGACTTTAATGTTTCAATTTACAGAGGCAAATCTCGCATATTAAAGATTTCAAAACATAAGTGCCTTTTGGCAAAGGATGACTCATATATCATTTTTGAGCATTTGCGAACATTCAGACAATAATTTAATATTTGGGTTCCTGTGGATATATATATATATATATATATATATATATATATATATATATATATATATATATATATATATATATATATATATATATATATATAATACATACTAGGAGTCGTCCGTAAATATCTACACATGTTTTTGTGATTTACTTTCACCCTCTTATATTATTACACGGGTCTATACAATAATTAAAATGAAGTTACTTTTTAGCTTAAATCCGCCATCGAAACTCAGTTTTCGTTTTTAAAAACAACACATTTCAGCTAAATTATAAACTGAATGTGCACACCATTTTGTATACAATATAACACAACTGTACAACGTCTGATAAAAAATCTTTTAAAAATTTAAAATGTGTGACACACTTCGTCACAATAATAATAATAATCGTAGTAATAATAATAAGTCTGAACCCCCCCCCCCCCCTTCCTCTCTCAAAAGTGTGGCCACAGTTATAGACGACCCAATATGAAAACTACGAAAGCAACACAAACTAGCCACAAAGATATTCAAACGAAATCACATGAGCACAGGAGTAAAGCTTCTTGTAGGTGTCTCCCCGATGGTCATTGCCTCCGCACCCAACATCAGCCACGCCCTCCCTCTCGATAAAATAGAAAATACACTACTTAAAAAATTTAACTTTTATCATTGACCGCACCCACATCCCCTGTAAAGCTTTAAATGCCTCAATCCACCAAAGACAAATTGCCATTTTATGCGTTGTTAAGGAACTGGCTAATTTACATGCTTTGACTTTAAAGCATCTGGAAAAAAAAAACATACGTGAAATAAAGTAATTTGAGCAATTTCTTAATTAAATAAATTTATTTTAGAAGTTCATGCTTTGGTGACAGTATCGGGAGCACCTGTAGAACGACATCTCTAAATCTGGTGTTGTTGAGGTAGTATAAAAATATGTTGAAGGCGGTATTGATGGACGAGCCAAATGCTGATAAAATGTACACAAAGTTGTACGTGTTGCTGTACCGCTTGCCAGCATTGAATTCTGGAAACAGCATTCGGCATAATGCCCGGGCAGCGATGGGCAGAAAGCACACGGCGTATAGCAGCGTGACGGATAAGACGGCTTTGATCACGCGGATGTCTTTAGCGCTGAGTTTGGGGATGGAGTCAGCGCCGGACGAGTCTTGCGTTAGCGACGTGATGTTCCGGTTCGTGATTCTCTGACGACGCCTTGTGGCCGAAGCCAGAGCGAGGCTGAGAACGACGAGGCAGACGGCGATAATCACGTGACACAGGTAGTAGATGACGTTGCGGTTGACGAGATCGTGAAAGGCCAGGATCTCGCCGGCGCCGGCGTTGTCGACGGCGGCGAGTCTGGTGGTGTTGGTGGCCGGATCCGGCATCCAGGCGAGGGACTGGGCGTACAGGAGCGGCAGGTGGATCAGGAGGCTGACCCCGGTCAGGACCTTCAAGGCCAGGCGGGTTCTTTCCAAGGTGAAGGTCGTCTTGAACCGCAGCGGCATCGTGACCAAACAGCAGCGGGTCACGTTGATGTAGGTCATGACAAGCAAGGTCGTGTCCTTGAAGATGACGCTGTAGGCCGCCGTGTAGAGAGCGATGTTGTGAAAATCTTTCGACCAGACGCGTTGTAAATTAGCCACATACACCATTTGCGGGATGTTGCCGCTGATGTTGGTGAGAGTGTAGATAAAATCGGAGAGGGATAAAACAAAGAACGACAGAGTGACCACGTCTTTGAGCCCTAGTTTACGAAAGACGAACATGTTGATCCCATTGGTGATCGCACCAAGGAAGTGAACGACAAATCCTAAGGGGGCCACAATAATAAATGTAGTTCTTAAAGTCTCAAAATCCAGCAAATCTCCTGGGTTAGATACACTGCTTGCTACCCTATTGGTGCTGTAGTTGTTCATTGTATATTTTGTCAAATAAACACAGAATCTGTTATATTTTATTCTAGAATAAATATCGGCATTTAAAAATTAATTTAGACTTTCGGTTAAAAATAATAATACACCCAGACAATATAATACTAGAGGGGTTTTGTCTTAGTTGGGATAGCGACAGTAAATTATCAGTATCGTGTTACAGGCAAGCAGTGTTTTACTCCGACAAACCAGACAGAAAATTACTAAGTCAGTTATTGATTATTAAAAATTACAACTTTTTTCATAAGTGTTTTTTTTTTCTGAGTTGTTGGGTTTCGCAATAATGATTACATTCAAACAATTAAATATGAAATGTATGGTTGGCGAAGATAATATTGATCGGACAAAGTTCTAGAATCTTATTATTTAAAAAAAAAAACATTTAATTTCTGTTTAAGCGGTATAGTTTCTACGAAGTTTATTAATTTTAATTTTTAACTTTAAAAATGCACAAAAACAAAGCGGAAGCACCGTTGTCTATATTCATTTTCTTATATAATGAAATTTTATAATTGAAAAAAAAAAATAACTATTGTATATTGTATTCATAAGTTAATTAAATAGAGGAAGCGAAGGTATTTTAACTACTTGGCAATGATACACATTTTTGTAAACATTGTACGCAGAGGTTCTAAAATTAGCCAAAACTTTTCCCATAAGTAGGAAACAGTTTAGCGGTAGTAATACCGACGTGATTATCCTCTACAGTTCTATGTTAGGTAACCTTTCCTGAATTATTAATCCCAGGGTTTATGGGAAGAAGTAGTTAATGAAGGTATGTATCTTGTCGTTGCAGGTCTTTGAGACTCTCCAGGCTTCTTATGTAATGGGACGATAAGTCTTGTTTATATCGCAAAATACTGAAATGAAAATAATGAAATTAGTTTAAAGCCAATATTTTAGTTAAGTTGATTTATTTTGGAGCAACTGCAATGTTTTTCATGTGAGTAGCTACTAAGTCGATGTCTGTGGTCTTGTAACCAGAACCGTTTATCTGTGTGTCCATGTGTTGCTTTCCTTCCCATTCGGGTTAGAGTACAATATTATAATGACTAACCAACGCAATAACCGTAGTCCAGACTGTTCAGATTATAGTCCGTTCATTAGGTTAGTTGATACATACAGCGTTTTTCGCATAATTAGGCTTTGCACATGTACATACTGTAGAAGCAGCACCCGTATAGTATAGCATTATTCTAAATACAACAAAACACATTTTTTTAAAAATTGCATCTGTAGTTTATTGTTTAGACTTAAGACATAAACATTTTTTTTTTCTGAAATCTTAAATGAATCTAGTTAGAAATCGAATCTAAACGTTCACGTGTCCCCACAACTAGACCACCTAGACCTGTATCTAGATAATAGACCTGCACTTGGACGCTGAAACAACTTAAATAATGTAACTAAAAGTGATAATCTCCTGGCAACAACAGTCTCCAAGATCAGCACAAACTAGATATGAATTTCTATTATTAGACGGATCTTGGTATTAATGTACGAGGACAGTGTCATGGCTAGATAGATAGAATTAGACTAGACTAGTAGAGGTTACTGAGGACAGTATAAACTTGACGATAGACGATTTGGTGCGAGAGTATTGTGCGCGTGTTAATAACATATTTGTGGCGTGAGTGTGACGTGAGCATGCCGCGACAATGTTACCGATGACGTAGGACGCAGCAGTGAAGTTAGTTGGCGGTTAGCTGTTGTAGAAAAAGGACGTGTTTTGATTTTGTGTAATAGATCTATAAGTGTATGATATTAAAATTAATGTTTTTTCATGAACGAAGTTGTTAATATCGTTAATTAGTGTCTGCGGAAAAATAAGAGTGTTCCCGTCCTCCTCACATGTGTATAGTTGCAGTATGAATAATAGAAGTCATAATATATAGGTAACATATATTACATACTTAACACCCCCCCCCCCATCATAGACAGAGTAAAAAAAGTTTCCCTTTAAAACCTGACGGTCTATGGGGCAAGTAAAGTAGAGTCAGGGGCGTAGCGAGGGGGGGGCGGGGGGTGCGGACCGCACCGGGTGACACCATTTAGGGGGGTGACACCAAGGCAAAAAATAGCAAAATATATAGAGAAAAACTCGAGGGGGGGGGTGCAAGTTTGTCCCTTGGAAGGGTCTCTATGCCTCTGGGGGGGTGACACCATTTAGTGCCGCACCGGGTGACACCCGACCTCGCTACGCCACTGAGTAGAGTTCACTTGTTTCTGTGACCTCGGCATATGAAGACATAGTGTGGTCAGCACTATGCCCAGCCGCCTTTACTTTCCCTAAGTGGAACCCTCAAGTGAAATGAAAGACAGGGTACCAAAGACGGACTTGAAGGCTGGATTTTCTCAAAGAAATAAAGAGAGCTGGGATGTCCTGGGATACGACAGATACACAACCAGGTCCGAACACAGTGGAAGGTAATGGTTAAAGCCTGGTCTCCATAATACCGTAAATACACATTTTAGCTGCAGTGATGTTAATGTGATTAGCAATAAAACATGTTAGTTAGTGTTAGTTTCCTCGCTAATTAAAGACAATTATAGGTACAATGCAAAACTGATCGTGGTAGTCAAGTAAGTCAAGATTTGTAACACATAATAAATTCCCGTTCATCTATAGACTTGTATGTAGTGATATGATTTGTAGTGATAATAGTATTACCACATTACATGTGGTTATTAACAAAGTATGGTTAAGAGAATAGAATAGGAATCAGCTAGTAAACTAGTTGTAAAGCGGGGGTGGGCGAATAGAATGCTGTCGTGTTAAAAGGAATCGTGCCTTGTAGTGCTTTGTAGAAGAGCCTGGTACGTCGGACTCCCAAGTCCCCTACATGAGCGAGCCAGGAGATTTGTCCGCATTAGACGGGCGAATCTCCGTCGCTTGCTCTAAATAGCGTGGGGGAGGAGAGGTGCAAGACTGCCGGGAACCAAGAAGGGTTTTGCTCTCGACCCTAACCAGATGTCTTGACTTTAAGCTGCGGCCTTCACGTGGCTTCGGATGTGTGCCACTAGTCGGACCAAGCTCATGACCCCCCTAGTGGGTGCGGGATGGCTAGTGGTAGCCAACAGCAGCTAGAGGTTTTTGATCTGGCCGAGTGGAACTGCTGTATGCGTTCGGCTCTTCCGAAGAGCCTGGTACGTCGGACTCCCAAGTCCCCCACATAATAGCGTGGGGGAGGAGAGGTGCAAGACTGCAAGGAACCAAAAGAGTCCGCCGCCAGATCTTTCTTTTGACTTTAAGCGGCGGCCTTAACGGGGCTTCGGAATAATTCCACTGGTCCGACCAAACTCATGTCCCCCTAGTGGGTGCGGAATGGCCGGTAGCAGATAACAGCAGCTAGAGGGTTTTGATCTGGCGGAATGCCCCCCCACGATCAAGCTGGGTACCAGGCGGTGGGACGACGTCCCGCGTCTGGTGGGTGGGGAAGGAAAGCCCGGTGAGAGCCCACGGAAGTAGCGACCGAGGTGTGGGGAACTCTTGTGGTCGGAGTTTGCTACACTGAGGCCTGCCTGGCTGATGGAAGTCAACCTTCTGAGCCGGTTTCCGTATAAGAAGAAGAAGAAGAAGTGCTTTCTATCTTCCGCGCAGCCTGGTGCCCTCGGACTCCCGCAGCCATGTGGGCTGGAGTGGATGAACAGGGACTGGGAACGAAAGGGGTTTTTATGGCCCTACGGCAGATGTTTCGACCTGAAGCTACGACCTCCTCGTGGTCGCGGAAGGGGACCCGGGTTTTTACCCGGGGAGCTAGCGGTAGCTAGCGGTCTTTAATCTGTACGCCCGAGACCTACGGAAGGAGCCGCTGTAGGACTTTCGTAGGACGGGCTCCGAAGAGCCTGGTACGTCGGACTCCCAAGTCCCCTACATGGGCGAGCCAGGAGATTTGTCCGCATTAGACGGGCGAATCTCCGTTGCTTGCTCTAAATAGCGTGGGGGAGGAGAGGTGCAAGACTGCCGGGAACCAAGAAGGGTTTTGCTCTCGACCCTAACCAGATGTCTTGACTTTAAGCTGCGGCCTTTACGTGGTTTCGGATGTGTGCCACTAGTCGGACCAAGCTCATGACCCCCCTAATGGGTGCGGGATGGCTAGTGGTAGCAAACAGCAGCTAGAGGTTTTTGATCTGGCCGAGTAGAACTGCTGTATGCGTTCGGCTCTTCCGAAGAGCCTGGTACGTCGGACTCCCAAGTCCCCCACATAATAGCGTGGGGGAGGAGAGGTGCAAGACTGCCGGGAACCAAAAGTCCGCAACCAGATCTTTTGACTTTAAGCGGCGGCCTTAACGGGGCTTCGGAATAATGCCACTGGTCCGACCAAACTCATGTCCCCCCTAGTGGGTGCGGAATGGCCAGTGGCAGATAACAGCAGCTAGAGGGTTTTGATCTGGCGGAATGCCCCCCACGATCAAGCTGGGTACCAGGCGGTGGGACGACGTCCCGCGTTTGGTGGGTGAGGAAGGAAAGCCCGGTGAGAGCCCACGGAAGTAGCGACCGATGTGTGGGGAACTCTTGTGGTCGGAGTTTGCTGCACTGAGGCCTGCCTGGCTGATGGAAGTCAACCTTCTGAGCCGGTTTCCGTATAAGAAGAAGAAGTGCTTTGTATCACACGGAAGAAGGAATAGAATCAAACGGATCAATAAGGAAACAATAAGGAAGGTTTCAGAAGAGACCAGCTCACATAGGGTACTCTTTGAAGTATCCTTACTTTTTGAAGTAAAACATCGTTCAAGAACTTTTTTAGGTAAAACATCGTTCAAGAACTTTGTCAGGTAAAACATCGTTCAAGAAAATATCTTTCATCAATTCATCAACTAACTGACGTGCTAGTTAATATAAAACAATTATACATTTTACAACAGTGCAACAAAAATCCTAGTAATACTACAAGTAAATCAGAAAAGTAAGTGCATTTGTCTTATTATATCTTTATTTATTTTTACGAATATTGTTTCTTTAGAAAAATAGTCTAAAACAATGTGTTGTTTTAAAGCTTAAAGTCTACGAGTCTTATCATCCCAGTGATATTTTTGTGTACATGTGTTGAAACTTAGTTGCCACGAACGCTACAGCACATTTGCTTAAACGTGGTCTTATAATTAACGCTCATGGTGTAATAGATGAAAATATTGACCGAACTTTGAGCCATTTCAATGGTAAAAATCACAGACCAAATCCCTTTAAAGATGTTTGTGTTTTGGGCAGCTAGACTGTACTGCATGGGGTAGATCAACTCCACGATAAAACTAAAAAAACTGGGGATAAGCGAGGCTATAAATACACATGATATCATCACGATCATCTTCACCAACTTCCGGTCGCGGATTGATAACTTGTCATTGGTGTTGACGGAAGTAGATTTCATCCGCCATTTTGATTTCATAAGAAGCTGGTGGACGATGATGACGGTGAAAAAAATGTCAAGAAAGAAAGACCCGAATTGAGCTGACACGCTGAAGGTGAAGCCAATGAACTCCAGGTACTGGACGTTGTCGTTGAAAATCCGAGCCAGGAGTGTTTTGTTCCGTGTGCCGGAAAACACGTAGCCCAGCCTGCTGCCGACAAACAGAGGCGACATTCCAGGGACGATGAAGACGAAAATGACGACCAAAATGACAACAGTTCTGGCCGGGGTGATGAAGTGCTTGACCCTGAGCGGCCAGGTGACGCACAGACATCTCTCGAAGGTGATGAAGTTGGTGATCCACCAAGCGATACGGACGAATATCCCATGAGGCACGGCTGTCAACGATTATAAAAAAATAAAAATTATCAGGGTTGTAGCGGCGGTTGACATTAGTTCGAAAGATAATTTGTTATTGATTTTTATGCTGCAGTAAGTGTGTGTTTGTGTGGGGGGTGGGGTCGATAGTTAATTCTCTCTTGTAAATTAAACTTTAAAAAAATGGCTAACATTATTGGTTAATTGACAAAATGTTTTTTTGTTCGATTCATACGCGTAAGTAAATGGCTATTATTGTTACTTTGCGAAAAGTCTTAAAGGTTTGGGCACAAATAAGAAAGGAGAAAAAGACAAGTACGGTGTCTTTACATTTATACACGTCTATTTAGATGTGAACTGTATTAGTAAAATGTTCCTGGTTAGTTTATGATCCGATCAAGTTTAAAACGGTTATTCCAATGAAAGTCAGTAATGCTTAGCAAAACCAAACAGCATGCCATAGGCGTCGCGAGGCGGGGGAGGGGGTGCAGACCGCATCGGGTGACACCATTTAGGAGGGTGGCACCAAGACAAAAAATAATTGCAAGATATATAGAATAAATATGTTTTTTTTTGCCAGTTCAATGAATGGCTAATTTGAGTTAAAAAGTACATAATGACGATCGCGACATGCGGGGGGGGGGGGGGGGCACCATGACGTAAACATGCAAATTATAAAGAACACAATGCTATACCCACCTATAGATAAACATCACTAGTATTATATGTGAACACTTTAAAGCTTTTACCTGGGGGTGGGGGGGGGGAAGGAGAGACACTAACTGGAAAATTTACAGAGAAAAAAAAATGGGAAGGGGGGGGGGGGTGACAGCAATAGGTGACACCAATAGGTGCCGCACCGGGTGATACCCGACCTAGCGACGCCATTGCAGCATGCCAAGAGTTTTGAATTATACGTCAATATTTTCAGAACATCAGAACAGCTGTTCCCCCCCCCCCTCGAATGAAACATAATTTATATAGAAAATATATACTTTTACCAGCCCCCTCTACGGAAAATTTAGTCTGCCCCCCCCATCAATGAAAGAAACACTGCTTACCTGCAGTCATGTACCCAACGTCGATTAGCACCATCGGCATGAGTTCTGGGTCCAGCAGATCAAGGATTAGCGAGACCGTCTTCCATGCCATGGGCAGTAAGCTTAAGAGGTCAGACAAGGCCAAGGCCAGTAGGCTGATGTTGACAGTTTCATGGAAACCCCGAGAAATAAAGGTTTTATCACGATTTATAAGCCATTCAAAGTAACTTTTACGGTAATTTATAAAACATGAGAAATAAAGGTTTTTCCACGATTTATAAACCATTCAAAGTAACTTTTACGGTAGTTTATAAAACACAAGAAACAAAAATTTACTTCGATTTATAAACCATTAAAAGTAAATTTTACGGCAGTTTATAAACCATGAGGAACAGATATTTACTTCGATTAATAAATTATGAAAAGCACATTTTATTGTAGTTTATAAACCCTGAAAAACATATATTTACAAAGATTTATAAACCCTGAAAATCAAATTTTACGGCATTTTATAATACCTATAAAATGGATATTTACTACGATTTATATACCATGAAAAGCAAATTGTACAGTAATGTAGAAACCCTTAAAAACACATATTTACTACGATTGATAAACCATTAAAAGCAAATTTTACGGTAATTTATAAACCCTTAGATACAAATATTTACTACGATTTATAAATCAAATTTACTGCAGTTTGTAATACCTATAAAATAGATATTTACTACGATTTATATAACATGAAAAGCAAATTTTACAGTAATTTATAAAACCCAGAAAAATAAATATTTACCACACGTTACAAACCCAGAAAAGCGAATTTTACGGTCATTTTATTAATCCTGAGAAGCAAATGTTTACGGTAATTTATAAAAAATTAGGTAATTGGACATGGAGCCTACTTTGACCTTAATTGAAAAGTTTACCACACTGCCCGAGACCACTATACACGCGAACTAGTTGACTGCCCCTAATTAAGATATCCACAAAGCTTACTAGTTTCCAAAACACGACAACATTAATGATGTTGGCTAGTTGACTGCCCCATAATTAAGATATTCACATAGCTTACTAGTTTCCAAAACACGACAACATTAATGATGTTGGCTAGTTGACTGCCCCTTAATTAAGATATTCATAAAGCTTACTAGTTTCCAAAACACGACAACATTAATGATGTTGGCTAGTTGACTGCCCCATAATTAAGATATTCACATAGCTTACTAGTTTCCAAAACACGACAACATTGATGATGTTGGCTAGTTGACTGCCCCATAATTAAGATATTCACATAGCTTACTAGTTTCCAAAACACGACAACATTGATGATGTTGGCTAGTTGACTGCCCCATAATTAAGATATTCACATAGCTTACTAGTTTCCAAAACACGACAACATTGATGATGTTGGCTAGTTGACTGCCCCATAATTAAGATATTCACAAAGCTTACTAGTTTCCAAAACACGACAACATTAATGATGTTGGCTAGTTGACTGCCCCTTAATTAAGATATTCACAAAGCTTACTAGTTTCCAAAACACGACAACATTAATGATGTTGGCTAGTTGACTGCCCCTTAATTAAGATATTCACAAAGCTTACTAGTTTCCAAAACACGACAACATTAATAATGTTGGCTAGTTGACTGCCCCTTAATTAAGATATTCACAAAGCTTACTAGTTTCCAAAACACGACAACATTGATGATGTTGGCAATAGATCCGATAACGCTGATAATGCCGGCGAGGGTTAGGAAGAACACAATGTCCATCACACGACGGAATTCGCCCCAGTCTTCCTCTGCTTCCCCTGCCATGGGAGCGTCTTTGGCAACGGTTGAGGGTGGGAACGTTTCCATGGTAACAGAGATAGAATCTGACGCGGATAATGATAGATATATAGCGTTTTCGTATTTAAGAAAATATACGTATCCGCATAGGTAAATAAATAGCAATTTTAGTTTTTATAGTTACGAGGCATACTACCTAGCTTCGCTTAGGTTTTTCAAAAAAATATTTGAGAATTTGAATGATTAATTAATTAGTGATTGGTTGTTATTTAAGATGCTTATGTTTAAAGAGTAATTTTATTTTTAGAGAAATTAATGGAATGTTCGCAATTTATTACTTGAGAGGTAGTTAGCTACAGAGGCTTTTTTGATATTTTGAAAAAAGACACTAGAAATTAATGAGAAGCAAGCCCGCCAGAGAATATTTTTTAGCTAGTAATTTTTAGCGCAATTTCCATTCTGGAGAATTGCGTTTATTAACTCGTCTTTTCTGGGAATGGATGAATGGATGGATGGATGTGTGTCCGCAGCTTTAAGTCGTATCTCCTCCTCAACGAAGCAATATCGAGGACTAGTTCCAAAGCAAATATGTTAAGCAAGTTACCAGGATGAACATAGGCCCAAATAATTCCGGGTTTCTTTCATGAATTTCCCGGAAAAGCCAAAAAATCTCGAAAAAAATGCAGTTTTTGGCCCATATCTCGGCAACCAGACCACTTAGGGACTTGAAACATGTACCAATCGATTCCTGCCATAATTTAGAACAATATTGCCGAAGAAAGTTTTCAAAAATATCCTTTCGTTCGGTCACAAATTTTTTTTTGAATTAATTAAAATTTGGACCGAATTAGTAGGCATTTTATCCAACCACATCACACGCGTCATCGCGTTCAATAGCTGCGCCATCACGTTCAATGGCTGCGACATCACGTTCGGTAGCTAGGCGCGCAATGGTTTTTAGTCATGTTACTCTATTGTAAATAAAACATGTAAAATACTGTAATTTTTTTTAATAAAAAACGTTTTAATAACTAACCAATGGTTTTAATAACCCTGCTCTTGATCTACGCTACGACAGAGCTATTTTTAGATAACATAAGGAAATTGCGCTTAAATTGTCACTAGACTTTTTTAATTACTTGTTTTAATATTATGGAAAAATTTAATAAAAAGGAAATATTATTCTTTAAAAAAAAACTAATTGTTCTTCACACATAGTTTACAAATGAATGATATTTCGTCGTAATACCGTGTCGTTATAAAAGTAAGTCTCGATTTTTATGTGTAGAATTCCCGGTGCATAAAGCCTTAATCTGTGATGTCCTTCTATACAACGATACCGAAACAAATGGAAAAAAATAAGCAACAAATTTGTCCTTTTCGGGACATCCCAACAGTATTCATACTAGACTATCAAACTTACACAAGTAAATTCTCGTGTCTAGTAGTGTGGTTTTTGAACGTACAACCGTCTTACTTGAGTCACAGAATATTTTCCCCCAGTTTGAGATATCATTTTAAAAGAAAAAAATATAGCAAAGTCAAGAAACAAATCTTTGTTAATTAAAAGTGTATCAATATAAAACACGCTTAGAGTTCAATATCCCGGGGTGGTTTTTTTTTTTGTGATTGCCTTTAGCCCGCCATTACTAATTGACCCGTAGAGTAATTATATCTGATTGAGAAATGTTGTATTGCCTGAGGCCCTGTACTGTAGTGTTACTGTAGATGTTTTAACCAGAATTAGCGTCGTTAGGCCAAATGAAAATAAATCTTTAACCGGATAGAAAATTGTTCTGGCATTAAATAATTATGTCGTATCGATTAGGTAAAATCAGATCAGACTGACTTATCAAATAGATTTTAATATCACTGAAAATTGAAACGAAATCACTATAAAGTGGAAAACATTGAATTATAAACAATCAGCCCGATTTATTCCACCAATCAGTAGCTGAAACAGTTGAAGAAATCAATCCAACATCAACTTAGTTTTAGAAAGCCGAGTATTTTGAATTTTGTTTCATTTTTTTAAAATAGCCTAATAGGTATTAAAGGTTTTTGTTTTTCACCCGAAGCAATTTCACTTGAGAAATTTTGAACCAATTTCTTATTTTTAACGAGTCTTTTTTGAAACAACCGTTAGAGTTTAGAGAGATTTATTGCACATACTTACACTACTCTTCTTTGTAGGATTTAATATTTACAAAATGTATTGTTAGATTTACTGACAGACTTAGTAAGTCACGCAAAAAACTCAATGAGAAGATGATATAAATACTGACTGATAATATGACTGCTGATAAAATGTTGAAGTAATATAGTGTCCAAGTTATTGTCTGAGTGGTTGACTGAACTACTGATTAACTGACCGACAATACAACCGACCAAATAGCGACAGATTTTGCATGGTATCTAATTCAATGATTCATTTAGTGACGAAAAGATTGTCATAATAATTGACTGACTATGGTTAGTGGTACAGCTATTTAGCTGAACGTGTTTACTAAAAGCCAGAAAACGAGTCTAAATAATGAAGGGAGGTAAATATTTTCCAGAGCAATGTTTTACTTTTTACAGATAGCTTCTCTTGATTTAGTTAAGATTTTCGTAAGCATCAACGTTTTAATCCCTTTGATTATTTGCAATTGCTATTTTAATTTTAATTTAAACACTTCTCGTTGGAATAGATAGTGTTTGTTTAGCCTAGACCTCATGCAATAGTCTGCAGTAATTATTATCCTAAGAAATTAAAATCGAAAAGATTGATAGGGTTCTGATGTAAATCAAATTTCTGTGTTAAAATAAAACAAAAATTAAAAAACTTAAGAAGAAAATGACAAGACACGTTTGGGTGTTTTAAAAACGAAATCACTTTCACGTGTAGCTGAGTTAAGACCAAAATATATCTGGTGCTCTTAGTAGCGGCGCTGGGCAGCTGAACATGTAAAATCTTGGCCTGAAGATTTTACTAGACATCAACTATCAAAACTAAAACGTGAAGCACAATCAATCGCTACAGATTACCCGAATTCAGATGAAAACTACGGCGCTGGCTGCTCTCGTGTATACATTTAAAAAAAAAGTCTATGAGGTTTGCGCTGGTTTTATATTTGGGCATGGTAGCACACAGTGCATCACGCAATACTTTGTCGAATGCTTTCTTAAAAACGTGGTAAAATGTTATTTTTCGCTAAGTAACCTAAGATTACAGATTTGCTTATTTGTGCTGCGATGCTGTCTAAAGCCTGCTTGTTCTTCAGCTATGATCTTTTCGCTTGTAACTTTGGTGTGTTGAGTATTATCTTTAGTTGGCTCTGGCTTGGGTGACTTATAATACTGATAGTACGGTAGTTTTGGCAGAGTTGTAAGTTGTTTTTCTTGGGACGGCGATAATAAGAGACATGGTCAACAGATTTTGCTATTCTCTTCGTCTGCCAGATTTTGTTGCAGATATTTAGCAGCGCATCTGACATGGTTTTTCTCCTCCTGGCTGCTATTATTAATTCGTCTCGTACACTGTCCACTCCTGCTGATTCCCCCCTCTTTTTAGTGATTTTATTGCTTCCTCTCCAGTGCGGAGAATATGATCTTTGTGATTATTTTTGGATTTATGGAAATTAAGTATTCTTAGTGTCCCCTGCATGTACATGGTTGTATAGCTACGAACAAAGAGACGAACACTTAAAAATGTAGGGAGATTATCATGCCAGTATCAGATAACGAAACTAGCAAAAAAAAAAAGGCTCATTGGCGTCATTTTCTAAACCTTATACGGCGAGAGAAGCATTAACTCATAATCCCATTGTTCGTACAGGTAAAGTAGTTGGAATGTATTCGTCTGTAAGCAAAGGCGCAAACTTGAATATTCGCATGGAAGGTTACGATGATTAATTATCTTAAAACATTTTGGATATAAAAATATTTATTCCAAACACAATTACCACTTAAACGAACGTGGTATTATAATGGTATACGGATTTAAAAAAAATACCTGCATTTTACTAAGTTTAGTATTCTACTTCTTAAAACAAAAAGCTTTTTGAAATTGCAATAAACCAAAAAGTGTTTTAGTATTTCACAGCAAGTTCACATAGTTAGATTAGGTATATTAACAAAGGAAAAAATGCGAACACATAAGGAATGTGTAATTATCATTGCGAGGCTTCACATTTAGTTTGTAATCGGTATTGCTTGTTATTAGTTTGCAATATTTGCTTTTACATATTCATACATTTTAACTGTTATAATACAGTTATCAATTGTTCCGAGTTCCGACTCTGAAAGGAATGGCCAAAACTGCGTTTTTTTCCGTGTTGACAAATTCTTCTAGTTCACCCTTAAGTGTGTAAATACGTGGCTTGTATAAAATAAAATAAAAATAACCCCAAGACACAAGTATATATATATATATATATATATATATATATATATATATATATATATATATATATATATATATATATATATATATATATATATAAATGTGTGTGTGTGTGTTTGTATATATAAGCTAAAAGCAAGTTACAAAAAACAAACACGAGTTTAATTCTATTTTTAAGGGCCCTAAATATTATAATTGCCTTGGGAAGTAGTTTTATTAAAAATGTTTCCTACAGTTTGGTTTTAAATAAAGCTGATCATTTTTAAAAATTCAAATAGGATCTTATTTCGCTTCGCGGATTAAACATACGAGTCTCGACATGTAGCTTTTGTTTAGGTTTAAATACAGATATGAATATATGAGGTATAGGCAAAAGTTGTGGTGATGCTAGTTGTAAAAGGTTTTTGAGTGGGCGGGGTGCAGGGCTTGTTGTGAGGGGAGGTAGAGGTGCTAAAGTTATTATTATATGCTTTAGCAATCTGATACTAGGCGAATAATGCTCTAGGAAACAAAGAAAGAGCTGCACTTGTCAATAAAAACAGGCAATAACTTTGTTCAAAGATCGTCTATGTTGGCGTTTCGTAACCTGACAGTTGTGACATGAACGAACAGATGTTGTCAGTTAAGTAACTAAACGGTCTAATTAGCGCTTATTTAATATGGAATGCTAATATATAAAAGCCCA